TGGACATGAAGAGGAATGCCTGACCAGTGGAAAAAGGGCAAATCATCCACCCCCATGTAAAAGACCATGAACTCCCCCATTCATAACACGCAATGAGGCTACAAATTTCAAACAAATAGAGATGGGGGGGGGGGGGGGGGGGGGGGGGGGGCTAAGGAATCCAGACCCGGATGTTGTCCAAATCCAGGTCAGGATTTTTAAATTACCATAAAAACTCAAGACAGCAGTTGAAATGAAGACTGAACTAAAGAGGGAAAAGTTGAGTAGAAACCAACCTGGAACGCAGCTCTTCAGCACCGGAGAGCATAAAATACCACCTTAAAAAACGCTCTGCTTCAAGTTTAGCCAGGGTAAAGAAAGAAAAAAAAAAAGTAAAACACCCAAACAGGTCCCGGGTCTGCTCCTCTACGTGTGCATGTCAGCGAAAGGTAAAAAATAAAACACAGATCAGTGTCTAACCAGAGGCTATCCGGCTGGGCTGAGCCGCGGAGCGGCAGGAGGTGCGAGGGAGCCCGGCTCGCTGCGACGGACGACCGGGAGAGACGGACCGTGGTGGGCGAACATTGGTAAGCGGTTCTGTATCCGTGTGTGTGTGTGTGTGTGTGTGTGTGTGTGTGTGTGTGTGTGTGTGTGTGTAGCCCTGACGTTAGCTAATTCCGTCCTACCGGAGTGGGGCTAAAACGGCACCGGAGAGCAGCGGCGGAGCCTCCGACATGAGCGGGTTAGCGGCGACCAGAGGTTACAAGTGAAAATGACGAGTTCGGCTTTAGTTCATCCACAACGGAACGGCCACCGAGCAGCACCGAGCCCCGGACTACGCTCTTCACCGAATTCACAAACACACACACACACACACACGGTTTAAAGAGAGACAGAGAGAGCGAGCGCGCGCGCGTGTGTGTGTGTGTGTGTGTTTATAATAAGAAGACAGTCCCTAGCCCCGCGTAGCTTGACGCGTCCGCCGGTAGACATAGTAATAATACTAATAACAACAATAATAATGTGAATTATTATTATTGTTATTCTAAGCGGCTGTTGTTGCTGCGACGTGCTGACGATCTTGCGGACAGTCGGAACAGGTCCGCAAAAATAAATAAATAAATGAAAACAGGGAGGAAAGTGCCGTCGCTGTTGGAATAAGGCTGGCTGTGGATGCATGAGGGCTGGTGGTGATAGTGGGAGGCGTCCTGCTGGAGGAGGGGGGGGCGTCCGGACGGAGCTTCTCTCTCTCTCTCTCTCTCTCTCTCTCTCTCTCTCTCTCTCTCTCTCTCTCTCTCTCTCTCTCTCTCTCTCTCTCTCTCTCTCTCTCTCTCTCTCTCTCTCTCTCTCTTCTCTCTCTCTCTCTCTCTCTCTCTCTCTCTCTCTCTCTCTCTCTCTCTCTCTCTCTCTCTCTCTCTGTCCCCATTAAATTATTAGTTGTATTGACTCCCCCCCCACCCCATCAGCTGCTGCCTGCTCTCCCTTTCTCCTCACCTCCAATGGCGGGGGGTGGTTGGGGGTGTTAATCAGGAGGAGAAAAAAAAAATAAAATCTAAATGTGTGGTGAGGATAAGACCCACAACCGCCCTTCTGTTAAGGCATTTAGGCCGAAGAGTCCTGGCAGAGACTAATAAAGTGGAAAAGTAATGGAAAATAGAACACACACACACACACACACACACACACACACACACACACACACCTAAACACACCCACACGCACTTAGAAAGGTGGTGCGATTTCCGGCTGTGCGCGTTGGAATTTTTAATCAGCTTGATTAAAGTAGAAGCTGTCCTGCGTTTATTACAACACACACACACACACACACACACACACACACATTTTAAAATGCTTTTTCTGACACACTAAACTCAAATTCAAGCTTCTTTTATCAAACAAAGACTGGTCTAATGGTTCCCAATCTGGGGTCACTGACCCCCCCAAAGGGGGGGGGGGGGGGCATGTTGCCTGTGCTGAGCTTGTGAGGTTACCCAAGATTATATTTGTTGGGAAATACATTTGTAAAGTCCCAATAATACATCCAAAACTGTATATGTCTGTGCAAAGATTTAACTATTAACGTGTGTTAGTGAGTAGGAGGTGGGGTTCGGGGTCCTCAAAGACAAAAGGTAGCCTTTAAATAAATTATTACAAGTATAATCATGTTGATATACTGAAAAAAAGATCATTCTGTGATTGGAGTCAGCCGATAGTGAGCATAATCGGTGGTCAGTCAAACCGATTACTCAGAAATTGGCTATGTTCTTTTTTTTGTTCCCATCAGCAACACTGAAAAATCAGACTTTATTTTTTTTATCATCAGTGCTCTCAGCATCACTTGGTGCTGATTCATGATACTAATGACAAATCTGTCATGTGGCAAATTTACCTCCCATAATCAGAATTGACTCAAATTAATCCTTTTTTTAAATTATCATTCTGTACTTTTTGATATTCAAGACAAATCGGCCGAAATCAGTACCAGTAGAGCTGTACAAGAATCAGAAATCGGTATCAGCCTTGAAAACCAAAATCTGTGTTTCTAGTTTACAAATGAGTCAAAAATCACCAATAAGTGGAAACTCCTCACTTTGTTGTCTTTTTTTTTCATAATTTCTTCTAATTTAGAAAAAAATGAACAAACTAAATAAAATAAATCTGATCAGAAGTTGTTGTCTGTAAACAAACCTGAACTTTTTCCATCATCACCACAAACTTTTTTTTCTTTCACTGAAATCTTTACTCTTATTATGTCAAAGCAGATTATTCCAAAATATTAGACTGGATAATCTCTGTTGATGCTGTCAACAAACCGCTGAGCCGTCAGAATGGACGAACAGAATGTTCATGGAGCAGCTGGACGCTGATGCTATTTAGTAATTATTTCATGAGCTGCAGGCAAACTGCAAGAAGGAAAAAGAGGAAAAACCTCTGAGAAGAGCTAATCTGTTGAAACAGTCAATAGAAGCACCGATAGGCTGTTTGTAGATAATCACAAGGTGGGTTTATCCTAACAGTCATGACCAAACAAGGTGACGTTTAACACATTCTCCTCTCCATCTTTAGGTCACGTGAAGAGCCAGAGGAGGCGAAGTGCAACGTGGAGATAAAAGACTTCACACACTATGAAGTTTTCTGCTAGAGGATCAGCGCTCAGAAAGGTAAAAGTGATCCGGAATACTTGAGTCTAAACATCAACAATTCACTTTTCTTCTTTAAGGTGCAACAACGTAAAGCGGGGTGTCGCTCGTCAGCGCGATGTCTGCATCAGACCGAGGCGAGAGCGTGTTTCTGTCCAGGCTGCGTAAGAACAAAAACAGGAAACCAACAGAAAACAGGAAGCGCGTACACCTACCATGGCGACAGGTTGCAAGTCGACTGTGGAGGTCAGGTGTGTGGAAACGCTTTGCGCGTGCTAATAATTTTTTTTTGCAGGCGCAGAAAGCTCACCCTGCACGAGAGGCAGTGAATAAATCGACTCAAACAGAGATGTTGTTTCGTAAACAACGCGGCGGCGTCGACGCGCGCTGACTCAGAAGCAACCGCAGACGCTGCGGGGCAACCGTGCAGGAAATCGGTCAGATTCTACAGAAGGTGTTTGCAGAAGCTGGTCAGTTTTGTGTGGAACTTCTCTAAAGTGGATCTGGAACAGAACAAACATGGATGACACTGAGCCGGTGTCAGCTGTCAGGCACACCTACACCTCCCATTCCACCCCAACGTGAAACCAAATCATTGTTCCACCCACCGGCGCTGGGTCAACAGTTTGCTCGTCTTAAAACACATTTGTGTCCAGAAAGGCAGCATTAGGAAGCCGCAGCAGGCCAGCCGAGAGGCTTTTAGCAGAAAAAACACCAGGTGAGACTCACCTCTCGGACCTGAGATGGAA